TTTAATTGCCTTTTTTTTTTTTTTTTTTTTTTTCTTTCAAACACTTATCATCTATATTAGATAAGGGTTGCTGGACATGGGCTTAGACAAACACAACCCATGTGATTTTTTTTTGTTCAACACTCATGCCTTTTTTTTTGCTTAAATAGAATAACTTCGTGGAAAATGCTAACAACCTTTAATTATGAAAAAAAACATTATATATTTCCAAATTTACCCTTGGCAGAAACTAAAGAGTCAAAAATCCTTAGTTTTCCACTTTTTTGTTACTGCACCTGCCCTTTTTTGTTCATTTAATTTTTGCACCAGTTACTTGTGGCAGCAAACACGCTGCCAAATCTCTATCTCTCTCTTTCTCTCTACCACTATCTCTCGCATATTGGGGTGGTGAGAAATTTTTTTCTTGTCTGTCGCATATTTGTGTCTTTCGCTACCTCTATAGACCTTGTTTTTGGGGTCAAAACCTCTACAGACCCTTTGGTTTCCAAATCATGAAGAGTTGAACACTTTTTAGATTTGAGAAATTAAAAAAGAATTGTTCAATTTCATCAACGGGTAAAGAGAAGGAAGTGGGAAGGTAGGGTGAATATGTGGAGTGGATGAGGGAGATGTGGTTTTGGGGTAACGAGGGGGAGAGGAAGTGGGTCTCTTGTATATGCTTATTTGAAAGTGAAACAGACAACCAATAAACAAAATAAACACACCAAACATAACCAATAAAGAAACAAATACAACCAATGAACCAAAGTAACCGATAAAAAATTAAATTTAAAAACAGGTAGCTTAGGAAGCGTGCAAATTTTTTTTTTATGGGAAGAGAGGAACCGTGAAATTTGTTTATTGGAAGAAGAGCCTGCAATTTTTTTTATGGGAAGAGAGGAACCGTGAAATTTGTTTATTGGAAGAAGAGCCTGCAATTTTTTTTATGGGAAGAAGAGTTCTTCTGGCTGAAAATAGAAACGGTTTTTTATTTTTGTTTTTGTTTTTTATATAAAGTTTGTTACACCAATGTCAATGTCTTTGCTTAATCTCGACGCAAAATCCATGCAATATATAGTTCGATATAACTTCATCTGGTTTAAATGGGATTCGGATTGGATTAGCAAATAGACGAGACACCGTTTGAAGTTTATAAGAAATACTGTTGGCTTTTTAAAAAAAAAAAATTACGGAAAATCATTACATCTAAGATCCTTAGGGATCTTAGTTCTATACATATTGTGAGAGTGATTTTCCTCCCTAGAGAATATTCGTCTTGTGATCCCTTCTTCCTCTTCGTTCCTCTTTTTCCTTGCAAAATAACATGGAGTGAAAAGACGAAAAGACCACACCCGTGGAGTGTTGGCCAAAGGCCGAAGCCTTGTGAGAGAGAGGGAGAGAGTGGCGGCAGCAAGGAGGGTGAGAGAGAATTTTCGCAGGATTTTTAGACGTACCTCATGCCTTGTGCGTGACCACATATTTATAAGGACCTTGGTGACTAGGGTTTCGGAAGAATGATCCCTCACATGGAAAGAAATTATTTTTCCCTAATTTGGAGAGATTGAATCAATTAGGGATTTGATTCTAATCAAATCCCCAATCATGGCATGAATCCCCAATTTAATCAAATAATCCCTAAATTGATGGGATTAATTATTTGACATGGGATCTTCAAATATTTGCTTTCACAAATGCCCCTATCTTTTGCATGGTGCATGGTGGCATGGAGGAGGTGCGAATTAATTGTTGGGTTGTCCCATTGCATCTGGGCTTTCCTTCTGTGACTTGGGTTGCTGATTGGAGGAGGCTTTTGACTTACTAATTTTTCTGAAATTGGGTTCCCAATTGAAATGGGCTTGGGACTCCTTGTTGGTCAGGAACCTTAATTGCTATAAATACATGACTCCTCTTCACTTCTTTTCAAATTCCAAACTCGCTTCCTCTATTTTTTGTCAGTGAGAGAGATCTTGGAGGATTGTACTGCTTGTCAAGGAGAAGAGTTGTTATGTACCCCATGGTCATTTGAGTTTTATTTTTTCCCTTCATTTCTGATTTTTGGCTGCATGGTGAGGAGGGCCAGATAGAGGACTGGTTGGTTGCCGTAATTTGGTGGTCACGTGGTGCCGACGGTTGGCAATGGGTGGCGGCAATAGTGGAGCTTGGCTGTGCGCGATGGCTCCCACTGAAGTGGGAGCACAGGGGTGGACCAGAGCTACATGGGCTGCACCTTTGCGGTTTGGGCCGCGCCTTGTTTGGTCCTTTGGGCTTGGAGGCGAGCAGGGTTAGAGGAGCAGGTGGAGTGGGCCTTGTGCACTGCGGGAGCGTGACATGGGCCGCAAGGCTAGAACAAGCAAGGCACGGGCTTGGGTTGGAATGCAGCACTGCAGGGGCTTGGCGTGCATGGGCTAAAGGCGCATTAGGCCTTTCCTACTTTAGGCTGTGCACTAGGGCTGTGTGGGCCGGGCTGGTCCAGTCCAAACAACTTTAATTTCCCTTTTTTTTTTTGCTGTTGTTTTGTTTTTGGCGTGCATGGGCTAGAGGCGCACTAGGCCTTTCCTACTTTGAGCCGTGAGCTAGGGCTGTGTGGGCTAGGCTGGGCTGGTTCGGTCCAAACAACTTTAATTTCCCTTTTTTTTATTTTATTTTAATGCTGTTGTTGTTTTGTTTTTTTTATGAACTAGGGTTTTGACTTGCACTTTTCTCCTTGGTTTTGTAACTGTTCAACGACCATGTCTTTCAATAAGAGAACCCAATCACCGAGCTCACAAGGGCCCTTGTATCTGTGGGGTGGCTCGAAAGTGTACACAGAGAGATTTGTGGCATATATGCACCATGTCACCACCGAGGCCCAATTTCAAACATGGCGTGCCACTTTCGACTTTGTCATTCCGAAGGACGTGCATGTCAAGTTGGTGGACCTCCTGACTGACGATGTGCATCGCGTGGATCCTATCCGGGCCTTAGAAGTATCTCGTTCTGTCCCTTCTATTTCTCATTAGGTTTCATGTTTCCGTTGTTGAAGTTCTTCAAGGTGGTGTTCTTTGCCATGGAGTGTGCTCCAAGCCAATGTACTTCGAATGTTTATCGGGCAATCATCTGCTTCGAAAATCTGAGCTGCTTTTTCAAGCTAGATTTGGCAGTGAGGGAATTCCTATACTTCTTCGAAGTGAGACGCTACGAGAAATATTCTCAAGTTCGCGTGTGCAACGCCAAGTTGTTAGACAGTCTAAGTTAAAAGGATCACGTGCGGCATGCTAACGTGTTGGAGGTGAGCGGCAGGTGGGAAGGTGAGGTCAACGATGGTTTGCTATTTTCTCTCACCTATTGCGATGGTATGTTGTACTTCATTGATCTGCTTCAGCTTTGTTTGAATTTTTCAGAACGTGACTAACCGACTTCTGTCTTTCATTTGCAGAAAATGACATCAACAAGAAGCTCAATCTTGATCCGAACATGCCTAAGTTTTATCAGGCCATGAACATTCCTGCCAAGTTTCGTAAGTGGCGCTGGTTGCTGTGTGAGCATCGGAAGGAGGCCGGTGATCTGCCCCTTACCGAAGATGGTTAAAGATGGAAACTATATGGCCTGGACCCAGATGATCTGCCTGTTGTTTGCTTTTCTTTAGCCCTTGGGCTGAGCATTTCCTTGCCATTTCCTGATCACTGTTAATTTGCCTGATTCCGCCCTAAGGGATGAGGTAGCGAATCTTCTGGTGCGTAGCGAACGTGACGAGATCAATCTTGCTGATCCATGGTCAGCATAGGATTTCTTTGTGGGTCTGGGAGTAGACCACCAGTGGTGAGTATATGTCAAAGTCTATTGTACCCATAATGATCGATGTTGCCTCGTTGAAGCCGGTGAACGATTTGGCAAGCTTGTAGATCTTGGGCTCTAGTCCCATATGCTGGACAACTGACAGTTGTAGGATGTTGGCCGTGCTGCCCTCGTCCATGTGAACTCGCTAAACCACAACTTGTTTAATCTAGGTGCAGATGACGAGGGCTTCATTATGTGGCAGATCCAGCCCGATCAAATCCTTCTTCTGGAAGCCGATGATAGGATCGTCCTCAATGGCTGGGTCTTTGGTTGTGACTTGAGAGACAAAAGTCGCCTACTTGATCTTTCTCTTTCTCTCCCTGGTGGTTAGCTCAAACTCCTGCGACTAGGCTAGGATCGTATTTATCCATATGACTTTTTGTAGAGGTTCCTTGGCAGTTGCGTCACAATCCTCGATTTGATGGATAGCTTTTTTTGCAATGAATTTCGTGCAATAACCATATCTTACCAGCTCTTCGAGGTGCATTTTTCAGGCAAAGCAGTCATTCGTGTAATGACTGTGCCTTCCGTGGAATGTGCAGTATTTACTAGTATCCCTCTTAGCAGGGTCCCCTCTTTGAGGCGGGGGTCTCTTTACCCAAGGCTTGTCCTTCAGTTGGGCTAGAATATGGTGAATCGAGATAGTGAACTTAGTGAAGCCCTCAGTTGCCAGGGCTCTTCATTGGGGCTGCGATCTGCGATTGGCCTCGTTCTTGTTGTTGAACTTGTTGTTCTTTTGGCTTGCTTGCCTAGCTGGTTGATCGGCTTGCTTACTTGCTTTCTTCGCGACGATACGGTCGTCATCCCAAAGTGCGTAGCACTCTGCTGTCACGAAGACTTCTGTTAGGGTTTGGCTCACAGCGATAGTCAGCTCACGGTATAGTTCGTGCTCGGCCGGCAAGCCATTCTTTAAAGCCGAGGATGCGATTCGATCATCGCATCCTATGATGTTCCCTTTTCCAGCCTTGAATCTCTTGATATACTCTCAAAGAAACTCGTTAGGCTTCTTGTGCAGATTAAATCGGTGGTCAGGTTGTTTTTTGACCAATCGATAGGAGGTGTACTCCTGTGTGAAAATGAGGGCAAACTCCTTGAAATTGTCGATTGATGTGGATGGTAGAGTGTGGAACCAATCCTGGGCTGCTCCTCGCAAGGTCATCGGAAATACCTTGCACATCTGGGTGTCGTCAACCTTGTACAGGATCATAGCAGTCTTGAAGTGCTTCAAATGGCTCTCAAGGTCAGAGTCCCCCTTGAATAGTGTGATGGACGGTGTTGTGAACCATTTCGAAGGAGTGGCCTGCTCCATTTCTTCGGTGAAGGGCGAGGAGTTCACTTGATCAACTTCCATGCTCAGGGCCTCGTCCACATTTCCCTTAAGTTGGAGACTCTGAAATCGGTCATTCACAAGCCTCTTGACATCTTCTGCCCACAGAGCTTGTGGCTCGCATCGGCGTACGGGTTAAATAAAAAAACCGTTTAAAGCTTCTGAGAAATACTATTGACTTTTTTTTTAACTACGGAAAAACATCACTTCTGAGATCCCTAGTGATCTTAGTTCTATACATATTGTGGGAGTGATTTTCCTCCCTAGAGAATATTCGTCTCATGATCCCTTCTTCCTCTTTGTTCCTCTTTCTCCCTGCAAAATAACACGGATTGAAAAGATCACACCCAGTGGGTGTTGGCCAAAGACCTTCCTCCAATGCGTAAGTCAATTAAATGATTCTAACAAGAATCACTAATTATTTAATCAAATAATTCACAAATTAATGAGATTAATTATTTAACATAGAATCGTCAAATATTTGCTTCCACACATATCCGTACAAACTTTATAATTAACATCCAACGGGAAATTGTACCATTGACTTACTGCTGGGGTTCTAAAATATTTAATTCCAATTGCCAATTGATGACTCTACATAAGAAAAGTCTTACAAGACTAAATAAATTGTAAGACTCATGAGTCATACCTAAAAGGTACGAGTGGTGCTTTTTTTTTTCCCCCCTCATTTTCAATAATTAATTAAGGGGGCTCATAGAAAAATAATTAATTAAGTGGGGCCGGTAATTGGAGATTACTTTATTTTCCACAAGTTATATATTAAACAAAAAAAAAATAAAAAAAAAAATAAAATATTAGCAGCTAGCTAGTAGCACATATGCGTACACAAACTTGCATGTAAAAAACTAAACCATTCCGTTTTTATTTTATGGTCGGAATAATCTGCCACAGCCACCGTTTTCATTTCACAACAAGAAGATACAAACAAAACCTCTCTCTCACACACACGCACAAACGCTCGACAGTCTCTGATTAAAAATCCACAAATTAAGCCTTCCTCCACCCAATTCTCACTCTAAACAACAAAACCCATCTCCTCATTTTTGAGAAAACCAAGCCACAAAACCAGTAACCATGATCACTGGCAAGGACATATACGATGTTTTTGCGGCCATAGTCCCTCTATACGTGGCTATGATCTTAGCCTACGGTTCCGTCCGATGGTGGAAAATCTTCACCCCGGACCAATGCTCCGGCATAAACCGCTTCGTGGCAGTTTTCGCCGTCCCATTGCTCTCCTTCCACTTCATCTCCTCCAACGACCCTTACGCCATGAACTACAAGTTTATCCTCGCCGACTCCCTCCAAAAAGTTGTCATCCTGGTCGCCCTGTTTCTCTGGCGAGCCTTCTCCAAACGTGGCAACCTCGAGTGGATGATCACGCTCTTCTCCCTCTCCACCCTCCCCAACACCCTCGTCATGGGCATCCCGCTGCTCAAAGCCATGTACGGCGACTTCTCCGGAACCTTGATGGTTCAGATTGTTGTTTTGCAGAGCGTGATCTGGTACACTCTCATGCTCTTCATGTTCGAGTACCGCGACGCCAAGCTCTTGATCTCCGAGCAGTTCCCAGAGACTGCAGCTTCGATTACGTCGTTCAGAGTTGACTCTGATGTCGTTTCGCTCAGCGGTCGAGAGCCTCTGCATACAGACGCGGAGATCGGCGACGACGGGAAGCTTCACGTCATGGTGAAACGATCCAATGCGTCGTCTTTCAACAGGTCACACAGGTTAAACTCGTTGAATTCGATGACCTCGCGGGCTTCCAATCTGACTGGAGTCGAGTTTTACTCCGTGCAGTCTTCCCTTGAGACCTCACGGGCATCCAGCTTCAACCAGACGGATTTTTACGCCATGTTTAGTGCCAGCAAGGCGCCAAGCCGCAAACACGGCTATACAAACAGTTTCCAAGGTGGATTTGGGGATGATGAGGAGGCGTTGAAGATGAGCACTACTAATAAGAAGAGGAGGGAGAGGAGTATGAGTTGTGAGGTCTTATATGGTGGTATGGTCTCTTCGTATCCGCCTCCTAAACCAATGTTCTCGAGGTCTACCAGTGGCATGCCGAAGAAGAAAGATGGTGGTGGTGAGGCAGTGCATAATAAGGACCTCCATATGTTTGTTTGGAATTCCAGTGCATCGCTCGATTCCGAAGGGAATCTTAGACATGCAGTAAATCGAGCTGCTTCCACTGACTTTGGGGTAATTGATCCTTCAAAGGCTGCTGCTCTTCAACAACATGAAACTGCTGCTTCAAAAGGTGAGTAGAAAATAATTTTTAGTTTAATTGCTTTGTTATCCCTTTAATTATGGTCAAATCTGACTTTCCCTGAAAGTTTAGTTTGACATTGCTATGCTTTTAAAAAAGAAAACTACTTATGCTGTTCTGCAAGAATAATCAGCTGTGTAAAAAATCAGTTAGGCGTTTGGTAAACTATATTTGAAAAAGTTTTGTGAGTAATCAAAGTGTTTGGTAAACTTTTATACAGAAGCACTTTGAGTATGTATAATGACCAAAAAAACCACGAGATATAAAAAATTAGTTGAAAATGAGCCATTATATGTTAATAATTTTTTTTTAATGATAAATTGAAAATGAGGGAAATAATATTAAAAAATTTAAAATAGTCTAAAAACAAATAAAAGTCTCTACCAAAAAAAAAAAAAAAACCTCTCAGCTCCCATCTTCTTCTCTTCGCAGCCCTTTCCCCATCACCACCACAAACTCTCACTCCCTCCCTCCTTTCCTTCCCTGTTAGGAACCAATCCCCCCGCCGCAAACAATCGCCAGACCCCTCCAACAACCCCACCCGACCTGACCCCAATCCCATATCACCACCCCCAACCCCTTCCCCCACGCCAGCCCCACATAACAAACCTCACCCAACCACCACCCCTCTCTCTCTCTCTCTCTCTCTCTCTCTCTCCACCCAAGTGTCCATCGTCTCTCTACTTGATCCCCCACGCCGCCCAAATACTCCAAGACTTACCCACTGCTCAGATCCACCAAGCCATACCCCCTGCCCAAATAGAAATCTTAGGGTTTTTTACTCTATTTTTTTATTCAATTTAATGAAATTTACAAATCAACAAATGAAAGTCAATTTAATTCAGATTGATTGCTGGTGAAATTGCAGTGGCTATTATGGCTCGCAATAACTGGCCCAACTTGCAGTGAGAAGAAGAGTGTGCTGTGTGCAGAGAGGAGATGAAACCCATTTTGGAATGGGAAGGATATGGGCTGTTATTTTGGAAAAGTAGTAAGGGCGTTATGGGAAAAATGAAAAAAATCATTAAAAGGAACCGACTGTTTTTTTTCAAAGCATCTTTGAGAAGCTGGGTCCAACCTACTTTGAAAAACTGCTTTGGATGACCTGAGATTTTAAAATAAGCTGACCTGATTTCTTTCACCAAACACTTTCAATTGCAAAAATTATTTTTAAAGCCGCTTATTTTATAAGCACCGCACTCCCAAACGCTACCTTAGGCCCCGTTTGGGATTGCTTTTTTTTTTTTTGCCAAAAACTTGTTTCACTTTAAAGTTAAGCAGTTTAAGGTATTTGGTAAAAATAAAATATCCCGATTATTTTAAAAGCAGTGGTCTTTTGACAGCAGCTTATAAAAGCAGGCTCTGGGTTACTTTTCAAAGCTGATTTCAAAAGAAGCTGAGATGAACCTTTAATGAATTTTTTTAATTCTCAAAATACCATCATTCATTTTAAAAAATGACACCACCTTCACTTCCACATCCAACTCCACCACTTGCACCACCACATTTATTACCTCCACAACCACCACCACTGCCACCACCACCGCCACCACCACCACATCCTTCTCCTCCTCATCCTCTGCCGCCACCTCCACCACCACCACCACCTCCTCCAAAACCTCCACATCCACCACCACCTCCACAACCAACACCACCTCCACAACCGCCATCCCCACCACCACCACTACTACAACCACCGACTCCACCTTCATCACCACCATCACCTCCACTCCACCACCACTACCACCACATGATTAGTACATAACACTTTCAACATCATGTCTATTTTAGTCATTATTCACGATTACAATAATTTTGTATTAAAATTTACCAAACGGTTTTGACACTGCTTTTTATACTAACAGCACTTTAGAAATATTGTTTACCAAACATAGAGCTGCTTTACTTTACAGCTAATATTTTCAAAGCACAGCAGAAATAACTTTTTTAAAAAGTGACAACAATCCCAAACTGGGCCTTAGTCCATTGATCAAGGCTTGGAGTTCCACGTTGCCCCTACCGGCAACTTCATCCAACAATATGTTATTTTTTATGACGTGACAAGAGTATTTTATTAATTTCATACATGTTGGTCATTTACTTGCTATTATGAATATGTGATGTAACAAAGTAGATTAAAATGTTAAAAAATGTTTTTGAATAACAAAATTATAACAAAATTTTTAAAGTTTTTAATAGTAAAAAATATATCCATTAAAAATAATAATAAAATAACTTTTCTTTTAAAGGCAAACAAATCTCTCTCCACTCTCTCTGTTCCTTCCTAACTAGAAATTATAAAATGGTATCGGAATATGACATCATGCTATAGCTTGGGTTGGTGTGGGTGGGTTCGACTGGTGAGAGTGGGGTCTAGGTAGAGTTTGTTTTTATTTTAATTTTATGTTATTTTATATCACATACTCATAATAGTAGGTAAATGACCAACGTGTATGAAATTACTAAAACACCTCTACTACATCATAAAAATTAACAAGCTTTTGGATGTAGTTTTTTTTTAGATAGAGAATTCATTCGTAGAACCAAAGACGTACAAAGAGCAACATGATACAGTGGCCTCGTAAAAACCTTTCTAGGACAACCTCATGGGACAAATCCCCGGGGAGGAAAGAGTACCACACATGTCATGGACTAACAAGACAGTCCAATTCAGGTCACTTTGGACCATTACAATAAAAGAACAAATCAAAAATGAAAACTAACACAAAGACCTTCGACGAGAACCGCAACTACAGACCAACATAGTAGTGTTGGCTGCGCAAATCTCACGGCCTGGAGCTCCGGGCCGAGGAGATATGCGTTAACACGTGGCTTCCTTCTTTTGGGTGCGGTGCGGTTGTGCGTAGGCGTGCCAGCACGGTCTACCGTGCGTCGAGATGGTGATGTAGATGAAATGGTTAAGTGGTGCGCCTGTTTGGGTTCGATTTCTAATCAAACGACTGTGGCCGAGAGAGGAACTGATCTCGGCTGTCAGGTTCACGGCCTGAGCTACAAGGCCGTTTAGTGGTGGTGTTGATGGTGGATTTTGGGCGTTGCTCCGGCGCGTTGCTCAGGGAGCGACGGTCGTATGATATATGGGATGAATGAAAGAGTAACAGAGATGGTGCTCCGGCGCCTTGAAAATCAAGGGTCGTATGATATATTGATGAACGGATTCTCCTTACAATCTAACACTACTCCTAGGAAAGCAAGTAAAGATAATGAAAGTGCATTACAGGAAAATATAATTTGCTCCGTGGGAGGCTTTTGGTTTTGGTGTTTGAATCATTTGAATGTAGTTTGAACTTGGTATTTATAGGAGGAGCTCTTGGAGGAGTAATCGAGGCTGAAAATCTGCATGGTGGAGCCTGATAAGAGCAAGTGGGTAGTCCAATCGACATTTGGGATTGTGAAGCATGGTGGTGTGACCCCAGGAATCCTGGTAAATCTCGGCTGCCGCCCTGATCGTGGGTTCTGCGCTTCTGGCCGTGGGGACGCATTTAATGCCCCTGTTTGGTGGTTGGTGATCTGACCTCAATTTGTAAGAATATTGGTAAGTATGTTTGCGCCTAACCACTCGGATTTCTATCACCAAATCCTAACTTCAGTCACTTCCCTTCTTCCCTCGTGCATTAAATGCCATTTTGCAGCTAGTGGGTTTGCTAGTCAGAGGCGTTACTTCATTAAATGAAGTGTGGGACCCTGCTGCCATATGATGATTTGACTCTTAATATCTTCGGCCGTGTCCCCTTCGTTCTTCGGCCTCGGCCTGACGATACCGTGGTTGTAAGGCCGAGATGACTATGCCTTTGCAACTTTTCCTTTGTTTTGAGGAAGGCAAAAGCGCCGCGTTTTGGATCGCGAATAGGTGCTGAGGCCGAGGGGAAAAACCCCTTCGGTTAGTGTACGACCGTGATTTATCAGGCACAAACAAGTAGACCCACATGGGAGAGGACAGTAGAAACCCCATAGTAAACCCACAAGAGAGGACCGCAGAACATCCCAACTGTCAAAAGAAGCCTTCTATAAGCAAATTCATAGTTCTTTGACACCCACACAAACTGCAAGACATACCATAGAAGAAACTAAAAGAGAACACAGAGGAGGAACACAGAAATAACAGTTAAAGAACCCTTGAGAAGCACTCCACTTCAACTCAAAACTTGACAAAGAAAACCTACTATAACCAAGTATAGTTCTTCGGTCGGCACAGAGTAGAGAAGAGCACCACATCCCAACAACTATCACTAGTGTCGCCGCCGCTGCCGCCGTTGAAACAGAGACAAAACATCAATCACCAGGTATCACAAATCTCCCGAGGGGAGACACAATCCAATGTCACTACTATCATCGCAGTCGAGACAAAGACAACACTACTAGTCACCTTGAACACTGCAAAAACAACCAAACAAAACAAACAGACAAATAGACCTAGATTCAAACAGATTTAGACTATCTGTGGATGGGAAGGGGAGGAGAAGAAGGGATAAGAAGAAGGGAAAAGATGGGAGAAAAAGAAGGGGAGATGAGGAGAGGAAAGGGAAGATAGGCGGTGGGGAGGAGGGGTAGTGGCTACCTCCCCCCCTTAGCTTCCTTGCGGTTGGTTGCCAACAAAGAGAAAGGGGACTAGAGTGCGGCTAGACTTTTTGATGTAGTTGATAATAAGGAGCAACGTGGAACATCAAAAACCTTAATCAAAAGGGCAACATAAAGCAGTTAAGCCACAATTTTATGATCCTATCCCCAACCATATTTGTCATTTGTGTAAATTGCTAGGCAAGTACTTACGTGAGCCGTTCAGTCAATTGACACCTTATCAGTTGGACAAAAATTTCATTTTTCTATAACAAAAACAACAGGGAAATCCTTTCACATAGATTTGATTTTTTCTTTTCTTCTGTATTCTCATTTAATTTGTTCATAAAATAATGTCACTATTTTACTTGTTAGAAATAAATGAGATGCATAAAATTCATATTTGAGTTTAGTAAATAAATTTGGTGATCCCATTTCAAAAATCGTGATATTTTTTTTGTTCTAAATGAAGGGCTCAATCTTGATTGGTATTTGGTTTATACCTAATTCCTTAAATTAAATGTGCAGGTATGCATGATTTAATTTTAAATATGAGTCCTGGGAGGAAAATGAGTGAAGACAGGGTGCTTGAGATAGAAGAAGGATCCAAGTTTCCGGCAAGTGCGTCTCCGTACAGTAGTTTCCGGAAGAAGGTGGACATGGAAGACGGTGGTGTAGCCAAGAAGCACCAAATGCTTCCTGCCAGTGTCATGATTAGACTTATACTTATCATGATATGGAGGAAGCTTATTAGAAACCCCAATACCTACGCCAGCCTTCTTGGCTTGGCCTGGTCTCTCATATCATACAAGTAAATCTCTCCCTCTCCCTCTCTCTCTCTCTCTCTAAAGTGCACCCATCATGCATTGTGTAGAAACTACTGAAAATATTACCAATAATACTAAGCGTATCGCTCACAAAAATATTTTGTGAGCAGTCCAATTTCATTTTTTACGAGAAACGTGATCAACAATGTTACCTATATCCCCTCTCTTTCGTAGCAGAAGAGACTAAGAAATTCCTGAAACTGATCCACCCAAATTAATATTTCAATCATTCGCAGGTGGCACATCAAAATGCCAACAATTGTAAGTGGATCCGTATCGATATTATCTGATGCTGGCTTGGGAATGGCTATGTTCAGTCTCGGTATTTATCTTCAATTGACTCCAGTCTATATTGACCTAAATGAACCATATAAAAGTATACTTTTTTAACCACTTTTTTTTTTTTCTTTCCAGGATTATTCATGGCTTTACAACCAAAGATCATAGCTTGTGGAAAATCTGTTGCAACATTTGCAATGGCTGTCAGGTTTTTAGCAGGCCCAGCAGTGATTGCTGGAACCTCTATTGCTGTTGGTCTTCGGGGAGTTCTTTTACATGTTGCAATAGTTCAGGTTCACAATCTCAATCTCCCAGCAATACCCACTTTTCTTAAAACTTAAGTTAAGAATTTAAAACTGCATATTTAATTAAATGCTTAAATACTTTTGTTTTCAGGCTGCTCTTCCTCAAGGCATTGTTCCTTTTGTATTTGCCAAGGAATACAATGTCCACGCAGACATACTTAGCACTGCGTAAGTTTATTTACTTGTTTAAGGAGCTCTTCCTGAGTTTTAAGGTGCCATGCTTTCATCCGAACAAAATTGATGATGAAAAAAAGGACTCTGACTTGAATATATTATGGCGATGGAATTATTGCAGGGTCATTTTTGGAATGCTGTTAGCCGTGGGCGTAACAATTATTTACTATATTCTTCTTGGGCTCTAGTTTCTGAAAAACTAAATGCAGAAGAAAAATATATACTACTGTATATCCTAGAAGTCAGTAAGATGTCACTTAAGCCTGACTTCTAGGGCTTAGAAATCTTGTTATATATCTTACTGACAAGGGTTAAATTTTTTTTTTTTCTTCGGGTGCAAATTTTTCTTTTTTAATATTGGTTACACAAAATCCATGCAATATATACTTCATATGGTTTAAATATTTGTTGGGGTTTGGATTGGATGAGCAAATAGACGAGACATCGTTTGAAGTTTCTGAGAAATACTGTTGATTTTTTTTTTGAAATACGGAAACTTTTTGTTATGAATTTTATAGACATCTGAAGATGCACGTGTTAGATGTTTTGTTTTGTTTGATTCAACATATGTGAGTCGAATTTGATCAGAAGAGTAGTAGCAAACACTAATTCTATTTTCATATATTTGAAGATAGAATTACAGTTGAATAAATCAAGACAGAAGAAAGAACTCCATAACATATACATCAATTAAACTGAAATTATAAACTAAAATAGCATACCTCAATTCAAACAGAGTTCAGAGCGAGGTTCAACTTTTATAGCCAATAAAAATTACAAATCTATGCAGTGCAAAAACAGAGAAACACGAACCCAAAACAAGAATAAAAAATAAGATCAGAAAACCAAAAGTCAAAGGAATCCAAAAAAACTCACTTACTTGATAATAAACAATTTCATAGCACAACATATATATCATCACAATCAACGATTGAAGCTCTCAAAAGAAGCACAATCTCCATTTTAGCGGAAGAATTTCCAAATAAATGGAAGCAGAGCTTTGAAGCCCGATCCAAAACCAATACGAAGCCAATCAAATACTCAAAGCTTGTGCAAAATAAAAAACAAGCACATATTCAGAACATGATTTCAATCTCAAATCAAGCTTCAAAACCAAAATCGCAATCCAAATTCGAAGAAATCAACTTATCCAATTACTTGATCCGCACTGTACATAGAGCACAATGAATTTAAGCAAATAATCAAACGAGAAAATAGAAGTAGTTATCTATAAATTGGAGACTCAAACAATAATTCACGAAGAGAAAAAGAGTAGTTCATGTTGGCGTGACTTGTGGACTATTGACTTTCTTTCCTTGCACACCAAAGATTCCCATTATAATTATAATTGATTTACTTTAATTCATGATTTTCTACTGTAAATAGAAATATGAATTTATTATTTTACATAGCCACTAAGGCTCCGTTGTATTATAAATATGATCTCCTACAAGGAGAGGAATACACAGAAAATTCCCACAAACAAATATTCTTTCATAGTTATTATATTTTAGCATGGTATCAGAGGAGCGATCTTGGGATTGCTGACTCTAATTTCAAACCCTCGTCGCCGCCACGAGGGAGGATGATTTTTTCATTCCTAATGGAGGTAGCAATATCGTCCTCGCCTATCCTTATCACCCAACCTTAGCCAAATTGAGTGCTCATATGGCTTAGTTCCTAAAGATCTAGAACTAGACCCTAAACCCAATCCTGACTCAGAATTTGATCCCGACTCAAACCTGATCTTGACTCAGGATCCGACCAAGACCCCAATTCCGACCCCGATCTCCAAAGAAATGATTTCGAAAAAGACTCAGACCTTGACTTCGGCTTAGATTCCGATCCAGATTCCTACTTGATCTATATCATATGCATCTTCCGCTGCACAAATTACGACTTCCTGAACAACGACTCTGACACATGGACAAGATTGCACATCATGTAGTGATTCGAGACACACCTGCGAGACTTGTTTCAAATTGCATGCCTACCCCGAATGGTGGGCTACTCTCAACTATTGAACACGACTTGATACTACCAATAATAGTACTAGTTATGGATTCCATACTTCAAATAAGAGTGATTCCTGATCGGTTCATAATTGTATATCATTTTGTACCCTTCTAGCTTATGATTTGGTTATGTTTTTGAGTTAAACTTGTGCTTTTAATCCTTTTTGTGTTTATCTTTCAGTTCATTGAGCTTTAGGTAATAATGATGGCTTTAGAGAGCATAATTCATGCAATTCAAGCATGTTAAGGCCTAATTTGGATGAATGGATGAAGAGATTCAGCCCGATTGGATAAATCTGGAGTCCGTTACCTAGCAAACATAGAACCATGCTCAGGATGGATCTTATCAGCGCGGAAAATGAGTTAGCAATTTGTTTCGGCCTTAACTTCTTCATCCGAGCTTGGATTGGGCCAATACTTGTGTGGCTGGAAAGAAGACATTCTGAACTTCAATTTCGAGTGTTTAAAGTCCTAATTTGATTAAGAGAAGCCCAAGTTATAAGCCCTTGAAGTTGCTGGTCATGCTGACCTCAGCATGTGCTGGTTGGATGCTTGGTCATGGTGAGCTAGGTATGAGCTATCATTTCTGGTTGGAAGCTTGGTCATGGTGACATGAAGATGAGCTAGGGCTGCTGGTGGGATCTATTGGTGAAGTGCATCAACCAATTCAAGATTTTCTAATACAAGTGCATCACCCAATTTAGATTTTCTAATACAAGTGCATCAACCATTTCAGATTTTATAA